CCCAGATGAAGGAGCATGTCTCTGGCCTGGCCCCCCCAATGTTCTCACAGCTCCCATCTCATCCCCTCCTCTCCTGATTCTGTTCTCAGCTCAGAATCCAAAGTCTTTCAGAAGAGAAGCTGGACATGTCTCTTTGTTCAGAAAGATCTCACACAAAGAATCCTTCCAGCATCCCCAGGCCTACATATTCTGTCCTGACCTCTGACCTCCCCTCAATTACTCTGCTCCAGACTCATCATAGTCCTTGTCTTTCCCAGAACAGACAAGATCCTGTCCCGGCACACTTTCCCTAACCTCCTCATCCCCTCGTCTCCCGATTCTGTGCTCAGTGCAGCAGCAGGGAGAGCCTTTCAGGAGAGAAGCTGGACATGTCTGTCTGTGCTCAGGAAGATCTCGCTCAGAGTAAGATCCTTCCAGCATCCCACAGGCCCGCACACTCTGGCCTGACCTCTGACCTCCCCTCACCTGCTCTGCTCCAGACACGCCACAGTCCTTGTCCTTCCCAGAACAAACAAGATCCTGTCCTGGCATATTTGCCCTGGAGGTTTCTGCTGCCTGGTAAGGACTTTCCCAAGGCTTGCTGATGGATAGTTCCTGTGTCCTTGAAATCCTTCTTCTAAAGTCTCCTTGCCAATGAGGCCCACGCTGACCTCCCTAGTAGAACAGCCCCCTTCCCTGACTTCACACCCACACTCTGGGTCACCCCCCAGCACTCACCACCTTCCAGGATAAACACTCTCCTCCTTTACTCTACTTAGAGAATGCGGTCTGTCTCTTTGCTCGAGAACGTATTTCACAAGGCTGGCGATTCCAGTGTTTTTAGTTAGTGGGAGTAAACCTGCAGAAACAGTGTGGCAGAAGGTCCCCACCCAGTGTCAGCTGAATGGGGGATCCCTGCAGAGCACCTCCCTGCTGTAGGCGGGGTCTTCCCTGTGTGACCTCAGGGGGATGCAGCTGTCAGTGTCAGCACAGTGTCCTGTCCTTGTCCTCGCGCCCTGACCTCAGTGCCTGTGCTCAGTGCTGCTTTCCCTCCCTCCCCGCCAGCCCTGCTGCACGCACTTAGGTTTCTCGTTTCAAACAAGAAGGATCCTCAGCTTCTGTGTCTTATTTTAAGAAAAATATAAAGATTCTATTTCCTGAATCCCTGAGTTTGACTGAATAACAGCCAGGATAACTACAGCTAAGGGCAGGAAGGGGTAGGCCAGTGGAGTAAAATTCTAGCAGAAATTTAGTTAAAGCAAGTTATTTTGAAATCCCTCTTCTCTGCAAATTCCAGAATGTGGATTTTTAGAAAGTGATGGGGAGGGGCCAGCAGGTGGAGCAGTGGTGAAGGCACTGGACTCCCACAGGGTCGACTATGTTCAGTCCTAGACCCAGCGACTCGAAACTCACGCTGTGTGCACAAGATCCGAGAGGAGAATGGAGAAGGGACTGGGGCATGGCCAACCTCCAGGGGTGATTTTTCAGGCTCTTTGTTTCTGTCTGTCTCTGTGTTTCTGGTGAGTGCACACACCCCATAGTAAAAATCTTAAAAAAAAAAAAAAAGAAGTGATATGGAAATAGAAAAGATAATGCAGGAAACAGCTCTAGAAGGCCAAGAGCTGGATGAGTCTGAAAACTCTTCTCTTGATACCACGAACTCCTATGAGCTGGGCTACCTGGGCCTTATAGGAACAATGACAGGAAAGTGACTCCTGCTGCTGTCAGAGGAGGGACACTCAGAGAACGAGAGCAGAGCTTCGATATGAGAACAAGAACAGGTGACTCCTTCACAGAAACAAAGAAACAACAGATAAATGCACCAAGTGGGTGGTGGGGACAGACCCAGGCCTGGGCCGAGGCTGACAGGGCACACAGGGCCCTCACTACCCACAGCCCTGGGGATGGGACAGGGCCCAGGTGATGTTGAGTCCCTGTGCTCACAGGTCCAGGTGAGATAAAGTTCTACTAAAGGACAAAGACAAAGCAGCAGTAAAGGTGACCCAGAGGCGTGACCTCAGCAAACCCACAATGGACGAAGCGCTGATTGGACACGGCCCCGTCCACACTCGGCACCTCACAGCCTCCTCCCGTCCCCACTGCAGCAGACCCCGCACAGCAAACAGACTCTGGGTGGCTGTCAGGTTTTACCTCTTTATATGAGTATAAAAAGTCTTCTGCTTTAATTTGCCCAGTAACCATTGTCTAATAGCAAGAATTTAAAAAACAAATCAATATCCAGAATCTCCCTTTGAATAAGGAAGTAGGAAGTTGCAGCTCAGTGTGCCACGAGGGGAGACGGTGTGGAGATGTCATGTCTTGCCCCTCCTGGAACAGGAAAGCTGGTCAGGGCAGAGGGCACAGGGCAGTGGGGAGGGCCCTGGTGTCGGGGATGGGCTGAGTCCCTGTCTCCTCACATTAGGCTGCAGGGACAGACACACAGACATGGTCAGACGCCAGGTGCAGGAAGACCGGCCGGGGCCACTGACGTCACAGTGGCGGGTGCAGAGACTGAGCAATCCCGTGTCCCTCTGTCCTCACAGGCCGCCGTCTCACACTAAGGAGAGAACCATGAACAACTCACGTCAGTCACTGTAACAGGAACCTCTGATGAGGCCTTCGTGTGCTCGACACGTCCCAACCCAGATCCCCACAGCCCAGTACTGTCCCCTCCCCACCCCAGCCCTGCAGGGTCTCACCTTTAGGAGCCGTGAGAGACACATCAGAGCCCTGGGCACTGTCGCTGCCTGGGGGGACAAACATGGCCTGGTCAGAGCCGCAGGGGAGGAGCTAGAGGAAGAACATGGCAGGGGCTCCACAGGCTCCTGTCTGTGCTCTTCCAGGGGTCAGTTCACCCTTCCCCCTCATACTCACAGGCAGCCTGAGAGTAGTTTCCTCCTGTGGAGAAAATAAACAACACACCCTGTGAGAGACAGGTCCATGAGAACCCAGTGAGCCAGTAACCCTGGACCCCAAAGGAGTTTCCAGAACTGTGATTACAGACCCAGGGTGGGGTCAGGGAATGCGAGGATGGAGATGTGGGAGGGGGACCAGCAGGCCACTGACAGGGCCATGCAGACAACACAAGCTGGTAAAGAGGCTGTCTCTCATGGCCTGGG